TTTTAACTTTTTAATAATAACAATGATAATTAAAAGGAAAGTCCCTTTTTTAAAAAAATAAATTCACATCAAAACACACATTTTTAACATTTAATTTTTTTTCTTCAGAACAACAATTACACAGACACATACATACACACATTTTAAATTTTTTTTTTTCATCAAACAATAACACACACACACACACACACACACACACATACACACATTTTTAAATTCATTTTTTTTTCATCAAACAATAACACACACACACATACATACACACATTTTTTAACATTTATTTTTTATCAAATAACAATAACAACACATACATACATACACTTAATGTGGATGAAGAATGTACATCTGTTTGTCATAAGTGTGTGCAAATTGTTCAATATAATGTCTATAATGAGTCCAATTTCCTTTGGCTGGTCCACATGCAATCTTGTAAGGAAAAGCATAAGTCTGGTAAGGTAAACTTTCCCCCATTTCTTGTAAACAAGTTTGAAACCATTGCTCTCTATACTATTTTGTGCTGTATCCTGATAAGTGCAAATTCTTTTAGGTCGGTGACTTGCTTTTCCATAATCCCATTGAGCTAGTAAACAAATGACCAAGGGGTTTGTGAGGGAAACACCTTAATAGTGCCTGGAATTCCTCTATCTTCTTCTACGGCTAAATTTCTAGTCCTTAGAGGTCTGCGGGTGGCATAGAGATTAGCTTGTGGGAATTTCTCTGCAATACTTTGACTCAATCCATGAGCTTTTGAGTGGATCATGATCTATAAAGTAAATACGAATGATTTTCAAAGCAGTACGAATCTTTTCATGTAAAATTTTCTTTCATAAAACATTGGGTGACTTAAAAAATCAGGGGATGTGTATGTCCTACGTTGTTCACACCCCAGTGTCACTACAGTGTTCGATTTTGGTAAAAAAAAACAAACCATCAAGACTTGTAAAGGATCTAAAAAGTCGATACTAATTGTTTTGAATCTCATGACATGTTATTTTTTTTTTTAAAATATCAATCAGATAAAAGCTAGATTCCAAGAATCCTTATGTATCTCATAGTATGATTTTCTGAAAATCTGTGACCTCTGACCCCTCATTGTGTCTATAGGTAAACCTATTTGAGGTTGTTTTTTACCCTGATCATGATTCTTTTGAAATAAAATCTATATCGGCAGTCTTCCCTAGGTCCCTTTTCCCTAACCCACATGAGTTTTCCCGGTCTCACCCTCTAAAAAGACTGAAAAGGCTTATTTTATACACTCGGGTCACTGAATTTCACCTCATCGCTTCGAGGTTTTTTACTCATATCTCCACGACGGATGCATGTCATGTATCCATTCTAGTATGAAAAGAAGCAGGAAACTTACCTTGTTTAGACCTGTATCATGCTGGAATCCTACTATGAATACCTACTAAATAATCCATGAAAAGGTATAGATCCCAAAGTACAAAACACACACATTTTAAGTTCGCCATGAGATTTCGGCTCTCGCCATCGAGGTGCTCTCTTTAACGTCCGTGCTCTGTGGATAAATACAGAGGCTCTCCAGCAGTCGGCGTCATTTGTTAGTAGCATAACCTACATTTTACAATGGCTCAGGGAAATTCCAACCCAGGACCCATACCACCATGGGGGATTCAGGTTGCCGAGGCCCGCATTGACCAATGCCCGGTGTGTTTAGAACAGGACCAGCTCTCTAATTACATTTGCGAGGACTGCAGGAACAGGGCCGCATGTTACAGCTGTTCCCGTGTGCTGGTCGAGCAGAGTTCACCCCCGTCTTGTTGTCCGCTGTGTCGACACAGGCTTCCCAGCAACTTGGCCCCCCGCGGGGTGAAAAGGTTAAGAAGACCTCGCCCAAGAAGACCACCACCCCCAGATTCCAATGACTTCATGGGGCCGTTGATCGGCAGACTTCGTCTACCCCTCTCTGAGAGACGGGAGTTTGGAGGCCTATCCAGGAGGACACACAGGGAGTAAACCCTGTCTAAAAAAAATCTACCCCGGCCCTTTTAAGGGCCAATCAAATGTTTAGAAACGATGCCTACTTAAACAGTCAAATGAGAAACGTATTGTGTGTGTCTTAGAAAAAAGATTTTCTTTTTTTCTAAAATACAGTCAAAGAAACGATTGTATCTTAAGAAAAAAAAAGATGATGATCTTTTTATTCAGTCAAAAATGAAACGGTTGTGTGTTCAAAAAAAAGAAAGAGTACCTTCTTATACAGTGGGTAAAAACAAGAAACATTGTGTTTCTCTCATGTTATAACACCAGGTCACTTTTTTTAAAAACTTAATTTTAAAAAATTAACTTTAAATTTTTTAAACTTATAAATTTTTTAAACTTTTAAATTTTTTAACTTTTCATAATAATAATAATAATAATAATAAACCCTTTTTTAAATAAATTCACATTAAAACACACATTTTTATTTTTTTTTTTTCATCAAACAATAACACATACATACACATACACTTAATGTGGATGAAGAATGTACACCTATTTTTTGTCATAAGTGTGGGGTATATTCAATATTTTTTTTTAAAATATTCAGGTAAATCTACAATCTCTTGGAACTTATTCTCTGTTTCTCACTTCAGGTTTAAGAACCCCATATTCTTCATAGTCACCTTGTCTATAAAAGGTTCTTTCCAATTCTGGGGTACTGTGAGACATATCAAAACAAGTTAACCCATGAATCTTTTTGTACATATATCTCTCATGACAGCTGTATTTCATTTGAATGAATCCTCTCACATGATGAAGTTTTCCAGTTTCTGGATGCCTTTCTTTTTGTAAGATCAAGTATTGATAATCACTTCCAATGATTTGATCTACATCTTCCTGTCGGCACCCAGTTAAATCAAATATCCAATTTTTGGCTATTCTAAATCTGTCTATTTTTAACTGAGCAATATAAAGATTACCTGTATTTTCTTTATGTTTGTTATGATAATGAGTCTTAATATCTTCCAAGAGTTGAGTTTGAATTTCTTTCATTATTTGTGGACTCTTCTCCTCTGTGGGTTTAAAATCCAGTGTCTTTATCAATCTTTTTTCTGACATCTCTTTTTTCTTATCATCTATAAACTTGGCTTCTTCTCTAGTCAAGGGTCTTTCAGGGTAATCCAGGTTATCCTCACCCTCTATGGGTAATAAAGGGTTATATTCCTCATTGACTTCTTCTGTAATCAAGGGTCTTTCTATGTAATCTCTCGCATCATTAGGATCACTCTTTTTTGGACTTAATTGGATATATTCTTGTTGAGAAATGATCTCAATAGTCCCATCATCATGTAATTGAATTGGTATACCTCTGTCTACATCTTTCTCTAAAAGAACTCTCTCTCCAAACTGAATTTTACTCATTCCTTTACTCTTTTGCTTCCTAAAGGTGTTACCCATGGTTGAGACAACAACAGTACTGAGTGTTTTTAATTTCACACCTTGAATTTATACTTTATGGGGAAAAAAAACCAAATATTAAGAGGAATTTAAGAGTGATTTTTGAAATATTTGTGATATGTATGTATATTGTGCATAAAATCCCATCCTAGTATTTTAATTTAAGTCCCAAAAACATGGTCATGACACAGTTTCTGATATTAAATAGGTCTTTCTTTCTGTTGTAAAAGAAAAATTTTCACTTCTCAAAGTAATTTTTTTTTCTTCAGAAACATATTTCTCAAACTCCATAACTCATTGAAAGCAATGAGGTATATGACTATTACTTGTAAGTACAAACTCCTTTCATTTTTTTTTAAATCCTGGTAGTTTTCTTTTTCTGGCAAAGTTTAAATGTGATTTTAGATAACATGTAACTTTGATTTGTCTAAAAGTTTAAAAATCATCTTTCATTTTTAACAATACAGAAAGATGAGCAATACCATTGATCACTATACCTTAAAAATGTAATTTAAATCTTTACATTTGATTACATTTACATTTCCTCCCATTCTATACTGAATACCCAACTCTTTTCAAAAAGGCTGTTTTGTTAACAGACAAAAAAATCAAATGGATTTATTCAGGTTAAAAAAAAATTCATGGAACTTTTTCTCTGCTTTTTTTCTTTTTAATGTCATTTAGCTTCTTACTTTTTTCCCTTTTTTTCAATTCTTGGTAATACTATAGAATAAAATCTGCATGAGTATGAACTCTCATCATATCCCATTGTTTTCCTGCAAGGGTTTTTTTTCCACTTCATGTTTTGTTGTTGTTGTTGTTGTTGTTTTTCTCATAAAAAAAGACAAAGTTTAACATGAAAATCAAAACATGCAACATTAAAAAATTTATATTATTTGGTAGAGTTAAAATAAATAATTTCCCTTCACTAATTAATGTCTCATCCCTCAAGCAAAAACAATATCAAAAAATTAAAATGTTTTTAATGTGAGTATAGATGCATCAACATTTTTTTTTAAAATTTCCTGCAATGATAACTTTGTACAGCTTAAAAATTTAAAAGATCAGGGTTTTTTTTCATCTATTCAATGGTAATATACATGAATATTTCTGGTATGTCTTTTTATTTTTTCAGAACTTTTAATTTATTAGAATACAAATAATATGGACACTCACATACTTTAAAGTGATGTTAAAAAAAAAAAAAATAAAAAAAAAAATAAAAAACGGATAGTCTTCTCTCTGTGATATACATGTTATGATTTTTTAGTTTAAAATTTCAAAGGTCTAGAAAACATTCTGAAGAGATGTCACTGAGGTTTTCAATTATAAAACACCACTGGCTTCTTCTTGTCCTGGACAATATGTAGAATGCTGTGTATATGTTTCCTTGACTTATGAACAGAATGTGCTATCTGGAAAAAAAAATGTTTTCTTTCAAACAATATTTAAATAAAAATTTCCAATGCTGAAAAGATGACTCACAACATGAAAATACCAATTTATTATCCGCTTCTATAAATTTACCTCTGATAAAATAAATTTCCCTCTGCTAAAATTCCTATATTTATTTTTTTTCAATTTAGCTTCTATACTCCAAAATGGGGTGGTCAGGTTCAAACTTGGTATGGTCAGCTATTAATCATCTGTTAATCATCTGTTTATGCAAACCTAAAATTGAACAATAATATATTTGAATTGTAGTGTTAATTATTTTTTTCATTGCTTGCAGAAAAAATAATCATCACTGTTAAAATATGATAATGTAAAGAACTGATATGAAAAGTTTGTCATACAGAATACCCTGTCAGTGTAGCAAAATCTATGTATTAAAGAAACCAAATTCTACTAAAAACAGATTCTTTGCAAAACAAGTTAATACATCTTCATTTTACTTTGGTATCTTGAACATTAATCTCAAAGTCCTGGATATCTCAGTACATCTAGAATCAGTTTTTTTTCTCTCCAAAAAAAAAAATTAAATGCTACCTGTGATAACTCTTCATAAATAATCCATACCACAGAGATGTGCTGTTTCTGTTCCTCAGTTAACCAAGCCTCAGTGCAGTTATCCAAGTGAAATCCCCTTCTTCACCCTAGTCATAGTACTTAAAAAATGCACCATGTAAACTATACACCTCCTCCCTTGCAATTTTTCTCTCCTTCATTTACCAAGTAAAACGTCTTCTTTCCTGATATGATAATAAAGTACAAGAAATGACTTGAAAATATTTTATTGACAAAAAGTCATCAAGTTAACTTTTGTCTTCTCTTAATGTCATAATTTTTTACTAAATAATATTTTTGTCAATGTTCAAATCTGTATCAGTATTTAAGTAATTACCAATGGTTATTTATTTCGCTGTATTCTAATTTAACATTTTTATCTTTTAAAGACTGTTATTGACACCAATCAAAATCTACATTATCTTCACACATACAATATCGAAACAAAAAAAAACCTGAACATGGTGAACTTTTGAAATCCTAGGTATCCTAAAGTAAAGTTAGCAGATCCAATGTACGTGCTGGATATGATTGGTTTGTGTTGCTGGGCATAACTCCCAAGAATAATGGAACTTCCACAGTCATACTGTTGATACCTAAAATTTTAGAGAAATATAACTACCCTATTATCTTAACTGTCTTTTGGTATAGCATTCCTCCAAAGATATGAGTGTGTAACCTTCCTATGGAAGTACACTGCATAAGTGATTGTCCTGACCTGTTTGTGTTCTGACACTTTGGTTTCTCTATACACCTATGTAAAAGACATCTTTTTAAAATACATGGGTGGCCTTATTGATATTGAAAGTACCTTTTGTGAATGAAGATTCATGCGCCAGCCTCCAAAGTCTGTTTAAACCGGAGAGAAGGTCCACCGCAATCCCCATGCACTCATAAGCAGATCTCGGGGGGCAGTAGAAACACTCAAGTAGTTTTCTATCCCCTGTGATATAATGTCAGTATTTAATGGAAAATTCAGAAATATATCAGCACTTAAAGATAAAAAACTTGCTATCTTTATGCTTTTGATTTACATTATCAGATTTATTTTTTTTAGCCATTTTAAAAATATAAACATGAAGGAAAAAAAAAAAAAGAATTAAAATTATATCTCATTGAAACTTTTTAGATTCAAGTTTGTGTGTTTCTTTGTTGGTTGACTAACTGTGCATTTCCAAAGGAAGACCAGCAGCCAGGCTTCACTTCATAGAGAATGGATTATAGATGGTTAAGAACAAACCAATTCTTCCATGTTGAGGACTGTATAGAAAATAAAACCATTTTGTTTTTATGATAAAATGTTACATAAACATGTTTAAATGTAATGCAAAATAATATCTCTTATATATGGTTACCTATACTCTTCTTCTAGATACATCTAAATTCTAAACACTCTAATCAATTAAATGTCATTCGCAAAATGTATTGTTTAAGACAGAATTATTTAGGATAGACTTTAAATGATGACATGAATAGCACGCCATACTTTAACCACATGTCAAAACATTCTCTCAAATTATGCAGAACTGGGTTATTTAGCATAGCTGACATTAAACATATCGGTGAGTGATAACATAATCACGATCATAAACAATGTGAAACAACTTTAAACGACCTACACGGTGGATTACAAGCCTTTTTCACTGGGGTAAAAACTTGCTGAGATTCGCCATGGTTGCCCAATTTACATAGAAAATTTAGTCGTACTTGAACACATTCACTCAACATTGGAGAAGAGATTATATAAGATTTCTGGGAATTCACCTTTTATTCTGCCTGAATATTTAAGATGAATAGAATGTGTTTAGTTTAAAAAGGTATGGATATTTACTTTATTGGAATTTGGGAAAGTCTATATGTGTGGTTTTTATTGAATTATATCAGTTTACATTTAAAAAATAAAATACATTTACTTTTTATGTTTTATTTTTTTTTTTTTTTTTTTTTTTTTTTTTTTACATTTTTTTTTTCTAAAGTTTCTTTTTAAATTTAACATTTAAATTTTTTCCTTTTGATTACCAGGCTCTCTAATAGGTGAACTGCATACAACTGAATGCATTTTTTATGTCAAATCATTAATAATGGGATAATATATATACTATATAAGAAAGCCATGCAGGTTTGCATTCTTAATCTTATATTTGATTACTATATGTATGACTTGTGTCACATGTGGTTTTTTGTCCAATTGAATAAATAATAAAAAAAAAATAATAGGCTATCCTCTCCTTAAGTTTCTGTAACCACTAGCACAATCTCAATAAAAACAGCACCTTTTAGAAAAGCTTATGGCTTTTTCCTGTTACTTCATGTTCATGTGAAATTGAATCATTTTGACCTTATACCTTAAAATTGAAGAAGTAAAAAATTATACCTGTTTAAATTGTTCAGTGAGATACTTTAGCAACAAAAATAAAGGACCTGTGACCCTTCTATTTATAACAACACTTTTTTTAAATTCAAAAATTTATTCAATGATTTACACTTCTATTTCTTCTTCGTCTTCTGATCGGTCCTCAATCACTCGAGTCAACAAATGTCCTTTCTTTTCAACCGAGTCTTTAATCTGGGCAAAGGGAATGCGACAATACACGTACTGCCTAACGCCGTGATAATCTGGAAAAGTCAGTTCTTTTTTCTCCATCTTGAAAAAATGTTTCACACAGTCTCCGATGTCCGAGTACCAAAGACTTTCATTCAGTACCGTGTTCACAGGTGTCCCATCTTTCATAGAATGTTGAGTACAGGTGACCCACTTGTATTGCTGATAATGTTGGTTGATTTTCACCCTCACTCTAGATCCTGTTAGAGGATAGGGAATTTTCACTCTTTTTTCCAACCACACATTGTCCAGGTAATAGCCTGGATGATTTTCATAGAAATCCATGATGGCTCCTATTTCACTTTTCATCCACCCTCCTTGCATGTACATACACTGACTAATGGGACTCTCACAATACCAACGATACTGCATCTTTGAAACAAAACACGTCTGACTTGTTCAGTGTCCTTTTTCAAAATGATACATTGAGCGCAGGGTACTCCCAGCTCCGCTTTATATACCTTTACTGTTGCATCATCTTTTTTATGGAGAAGAGATTATATAATTGTTGCATCATCTTTTTCAGCTCTACTGGTCAGAGACCAGAAGAGCTTATGCTCCGGCGTTTCCGTCTGTCCGTCTGTCTGTCTGTCTGTCCGTCTGTCCGTAAACAATTTTTCAAAATGCTACTCCTCCTACAGTTTTGGTCTAATTTCAATATAACTTGGCACACAAGTAGACTACACTAAGATACATAATTCTGTGTATCGGTTTTTGATTCGTTGAACGGCGTTGCAGTGGTTACTAAAAATAGAAATTTCTGTGAAATTCTTTCAAAATGCTACTCCTCCTACAGTTTTGGTCTGATTTCAGTATATCTTGGCACACAAGTAGAATACACTAAGATACATAATTCTGTGTATCGGTTTTTGATTTCGATGAACGGTGTAGCCGTGGTTACTAAAAATAGAAATATCTGTGAAATTATGTCTAAACGCTACTCCTCCTTCAGTTTTGGTCTGATTTCAGTATGTAACTTGGCACACAATTAGAATACACTAAGATACATAATTCTATATATCAGTTTTTGATTTCGATGAACGGTGTTGCCGTGGTTACTAAAAATAGAAATTTCTGTGAAATTCATTCAAAATACTCCTCCTACAGTTTTGGTCTGATTTCAATATAACTTGGCACACAAGTAGACTACACTAAAATACATAAATCTGTTTATCGGTTTTTGATTTCGATGAACGGTGTTGCCGTGGTTACTAAAAATAGAAATATCTGTAAAATTGTTTCAAAATGCTACTCCTCCTACAGTTTTGGTCTGATTTCAATATAACTTGGCACACAAGTAGACTACACTAAAATACATAAATTGTTTATCGGTTTTTGATTTCGATCACGGTGTTGCCTGGTTACTAAAAATAGAAATATCTGTAGAATTGTTTCAAAATGCTACTCCTCCTACAGTTTTGGTCTGATTTCAATATAACTTGGCACACAAGTAGACTACACTAAGAACATAAAGAGACTTTATCAATGATCATTATTCTATTTATTGCTGTTGTAAAGTTTCAAATCCCAGCTGCTTAAGTACTTTTCTCTTCCTTTGCTATAAGTTCAAACCAGTAGAGCTTCAGTCTCGACAGAGACTTCTGGTTATAATTGTTGCATCATCTGTAAGGGGGCCGTGTGCATCTGTAAGGGGGCCGTGTGCAAAAAATACCTTTTACCTACGCTTTTATGCTGACTACACAGGTAATACTTGGCAGCGATTCAAATCCTTGATTGTGACGTCATCCTTACAAACCTAGGGTATATAGAGCGCCGCTTTGACTTCACTGCGCTTATTATTTAGCAATCATGTCTTTTGCGTGGAGAATTATGTATTGGTACGAGGAGGAAAAGAAAATATGCCATCACTGCCATAAGGAGACGAAAGAGGTATGGAAATACGCCGCCTACAATCATGCGGGAAAAATTGTTAGTTGGTTTTGGGGATGCAGTGAATGTGGAGAACCTATACCACACTGGGTGATAGAAGACCCCCCTTCTTTAGAAGATTGTGCCTGTGATTGGTGCCTGAAATATTTCCTGTGGAAATATCCTGTAGAGAAAATCACACCCCCTTGGGCCAAGCTCATGAAAAGAAATAGAAAAATTGAGAAATGTCTTTCCTGCTGGGAATTTAACACTCAAGGGAGATGGAAATGCGGACAATGTATGAAATACCCCTGCTGTGAAAAGTGTGTGACGAGCCTTTTTCAAACTTCCTACAGGAGATGTCCTTTATGTCGATATGATGGAAATAAATGGCCTTTTGAACAATAAAAGTGTAAATAAAAACAAGTCTTGTTTTTTTTCTATCTCAGTGAAGTGTATCTTAAGGTAGTTCTATACTCGGCACTAAATGGGCTCAATCTTTAAAAATCTGCTTTTATAAGATAGACATACATCCCAGCAATGGATAGACACAAGAAAAATTATATGTCAACATGTTCACTTTTCCGCTATAGCCTATCGGAGTATATACCCCGAAATGTAAAATACTGAAATTTTACCTATCCTAGATTTTGTTGTATATAAATTAATTCTAAATACTGAACTTTTATACCCAAAATAGAGTAGAAACATGTTAGTAAACAATATATAATCATTGTTTTGCATGGATTATTATAAATAGATGCACTCTGTTAGGCTATTGTATCAAAATTTAATGTGAGAAAATATGCTTCATAGGAAAATCTCGGTCATTTAAAAAAAAAAATATGGACTCAAACTTCGTAAATTTACATTATTTTTGCTAAATTATACTTAAGAAAAATAATAAGCTTTAAAAAAAATATATATATATATGTTGACACATTACTTTTCGTGGTATGAGCTCTACACTAAAGGGACCCCCTATTTTCTTTCTTTCAGAAGTAATATATTGCCACATATTTCTGTAATACTGTTAATGTTTGAGTGTATACTTGTATTAACAAAGTTGTACATAATTTAAAACAATAATTATACAAACCCAAAACCTATTGTCCCTAAAATTTATCTTATTTTACTCAAAAAAAAAAAATAAAAAATAAAAAAAATAAAACACACTTGTCTTTAAATTGGAGACGATGAAAATGAAAGTAATTCACTGATTCTCATAAACTGGATGATTTTGCTACAGAAAGTAACGAAGTGTGCTGCAAGTGAATCAACTTTTGTCAAATACTTATTCAAAAGATAATTTTGCATTGGGATTCGTGGGTAAGCAGGTTAGGGGAGGGGGGTATGCGTTTTATGCAATAATTATTATTCAAAGTAAATTTTGTAATGATTGATTAGTAAAATCCATAAATTGTCAAAGTTAAATCGTAGTCATTACTTTTCTTCCGAATTATCAC